TCCTGTGGTGAGATTACTCTGAAGGGGCAATTTTTTATGCGACGGGGGGAAAAAAGTGACAGATTTACATCTGCTCTCAGCTCCCTGTCATTGCTTTTTCATCTTTTTGCCCAGTGCGCACAGAGTTGAATATTAGCTAAATGAAAGCAGATTTCATCTTTGTGTAATCAGTCTTTCAGATGGACGCTAAAGTGAGTGGGTGTGTGTTGATTATGGTGCCTGTCATATTCAGTTTACTGTGTTCGTTTCGCGGACATGACCCTTCAGCAGAGCTGCCACTGAGGGGAGCAGGAGAGGGATGTGCTGACGGAAAGAGCGGCTTGATTAAGGAAAGTGAAGAAATCTGAGGAGGACCGCTGAGATAGAGATGATTTGATTTGATTTATATCTACAACAAAATCAAACAAAAGAACCAACGGCATTGTGCATGAGGTGCAAGAGACTGAGCGAGCATGACCTCATTTGAAACAACACAAAAACAAATAGTTACGTGCCAGTGGGAAAGCGCAATTAGTGCCACAAACAGAACTTTTGCAGCCTTTGTGTGAATCTCTCTGGTTTGCGTCTGTTTATTCTGGACCCTCCGTCCTGATGGACAGACAGGGTACTGATTTTGGCCTGCATATTCCTCCAGGACTATAATTTATTTCATCCTGTTTAGTGTAGAGGACTGCGTTGGTTTATGCCGCTGCCGCTGGCTGAGTGATTAAAAATGGCGTTCTGTCTCCTGCACGGCTGTTTCTTTATGTTTCTCCCAGACACACACCACTTAGATTTTTACTGTTGTAGCAGAAATGATAGCAGTGGCTGTCTGCCCCCAAGGTCAGGCCTGGAAACATGGTGACTGTTTTAACAGCAATATAATTCCTATAGGTTTGATTTGTGTCACTTTTTGTGTTCTGACCTTTGCATTGTTATATTCTTGTTCCTTTATGCGTTCTTTGAGTGCTTTCTTGTTATTGCTACCTTTGAAACGTGTCTCAATCTCAGTGGGACAAAGCTGGCCAGATTAGATAATATGTAAAATAATAAAATGTGCCTCTTGGTGCCTCCTCCCTTCCCTCCGTCCTCAGACTTCCTCCCTCGATCCTCCCCGCTGGTGTGTAATAATATATTTAACTTTACTGGACGTCCCCGGGAGGAATTCCTGGTGTTTGGTGAACCAGAGTCTCTCCAGTGTGATTTCAGACACAGTGGACAGCGGTCATTAATCACTTCGCTGTGACGGAGCCTGTGTGTGTTCATGTGTTTGCGTGTGTGTGTTGGAAGTGGTTCTGTTTTCCTTCTCATGCACGTTCATCAGCAAACAAATCCTATCTGTTCGTGGGGAAGTGATATTGGAAATGCCAGCAGTGCGAGGGGAAAGCCTGTTTTGTTGTTCTTCCTCTCTCTGTTAGTTATTTCCTATTGCTGAGATATGACCTCTGGCATGTCGTTTTCTCCCCGGGGCACTGGCTGTTTGTCCGGGATTGGAGGACCAAAAAGTGGCTGGTTGTGTGGCCCTTAGGCTACAGCGTCTCACTTTTTACTTGCCAGCCTTCGTTGCAAGATCCTTTTTAGAATTCATTCTAGGGCTAGAATGATCTCCATCTGTTAAGGGTTTACTTCTCTTCTTGGAGTGAGGAGGTGTTTACTGTGAGCAGTAAGACAGAATGTTGTCTAAGATCTCCAGATAGGCTCAGATATGAGTAGGAGCAATCAAACTTGCAAGAAATGAAATAAAGCCAAATAAAAGAAATAAAGTTGTTGGAAGTCCTTGGGCAAGTTCATGTTGCCAAGGCCAAAAGTTCACAGCTGAAATGCTGAAATGTGGGTGTCATCAAAGATTTGACCTTCAAGTAAAATCCAGCCTCCAAAATGCCTCAAGTAGTGAGCATGATCTTGGTTGACACTGGACTCCAGTGAAGTGCCATCGCTGAGAAAGTGTATTTTCTCCTGTATTCTCCCTTTGCTTCACACACCTATAGGTCATAGTGTGAGAGGGGTGAAGAGCCTATCTGCCCTCACACAGGATTAACAAAAGACCGTGAACTTATCCCTGGGGGGCACACACACACACACACACACACACACACACACACACACACACACACACACACACACACACACACACAGAGGAAGCCAGATGCACATACTCACCAGTACACCAGTACACACACATGTGCAAAGCATTCAACACATTTCTGCACATACTGTTCAGTACACACACACATCAGAAGGCATCTGCTGCTTCTGGCAATGCAGCACCCTATAGGAACAGAGGTATGTATCTTATAGAGTTTGTCACGCTTCGGATATAGCTTTTTAAAAATCTTACAGACGTCACATTTGGGTCACATTGTAGAATTTGTTTTGAGACTCCCATAGAGTCACTGGGTTTTTGGTTTGATGCCTAAAAGAAGGTCTGTGGTTAACACAAACTTAAGGGATTTTCAGGTTTGTGTTACAACATAAAATACGTCAGTAGATGCCCCACTTGTGAACACTTATCTACTCACTAGTCCCCCTTTACAGCCTTGTTGGAAGTTGGAAGTTTAGTTGTGGTGTCGTAGAAGTCGTGCCTAACATTAGATTTTTTACCTCTGGGGATCACATTTACACTTCCAAAATCCTAAAAGTAGTATTCATTAGTGGCTTTTTTCAGAAGGAACCGGGGCGATGCTAACTTCCACGTAGTGTTGCTTTCGTCAACGAAAATTATGATTAAATGTCGTCGTCAACGAACCTTTATCACGTGACAGAAACGAGACGAGACGCAACGTAAATGGTGGTCATGTGACGAAAACTATAATGAAATATACAATGCAATATTGTTGACGAACAAAAACGGGACTAAATGTTGTTTGCAAAATAAAAACTCTGCTAAAATATCTCTTTATTTTCGTTGACCGAGACGAAATGTGAATATGTTATTTTGTCTCTCTATTATTATTATTTTGCAATATTTCTGTTTCCTGAGTCTCAGGGCTGTATCAGCGCACTGCGCAGACGCAGGCGACATCACTTCCTCAATCCCCACTCGCGGCATTATTTAGAATATGCAGCTGCGGTGGGTTAACGTTAACGACAACTCAAGAAACAAAGTTAAGTCTGGCACAAAGAAAGGAAAAGTTAAACTTGAATGTAATGTCAATTTTTTCTGGCATTGTCATTTGAAGCTATTTTATTTATTTATTTATTTAAATGTATGTGTGTGTACTTCTTATATTTTGGTAGGTAAAATAAATATGTTGTAAATTCAAATCAGAGCGTCTTCCGTGTCTGGAATTGAATGTATTCTTGAGTCTATAAGGTAACAATAATATAATAATAAGATAACCTTGTTTGACTTGTGAAATGGGTGACTTAAAGAAAATTTGGGTTTTGTCAATACTATACTATACTATACTAGGTACTTGTACTATATTAACTGGGTTAAATAGAATTGCATTACGAAAAAGAGACTAAAATACAATTTTCATTGACTAAAACTAGAATAAAATAGTCATGGATAATTCTGACTAAAATGCTCAGACTTTTAGTTGACTGAAACATGACTAGACTAAAAAGAGTATAAACGTGACTAAAACTAATAAAAACTAAAATGACAGTTTGACACAAAGACTAGACTAAAACTAAAATTAAAACAGGCCGCCAAAAACAACACTACTTCCACGTTGTTCTACAAACAAATGTCATCCCCGCAGCACAGTTTTCAGTTTTCCTATTAATAACAATAATATATTGGTGATAAAATAGGCATCAAAATATCCTGAAAAAAACCCTTTTTTATAGACCTAACTCATCAAGACCAGTAGTTGACTCATTTAATTTAGCTGTTGCATTTTATTATCATTTGTGGGTTACCATATAAGTAGCAACTGTTTATTTGATAACTGCATGGGTGCTGCATTTATGTATATGTATGCCTATGATAGTATTTGTTCTTGGTAACATCTCACATTGGATTTTTGTCTTTACAAAGACCAGATGTCAGTTTGATGTGCTGAAATGAGCAGTGAAAAGCCTGTAAAATGAAGATGTTTTCCCTCCCACTTCTGAAAAAGCCCCATCTCTGCGTTTGGGTGAGAGGTTAAGAGCAGGATTAGGTTTAGGTTACTCTGAAGGTCAAGGTGAAGCATTTAGAGATGGAATTTAGATAGGGCTAAGATATGAATGTAGATAACAATGGTCATCACAAGTGTGTTGATGCATATATGTGTGTGTTTTGTCAGAGCTAAGCCCAGCTCAGTTCTTGGAGCTGGTTTCCCAAAATACTGTATCCTCCTCAGTGGGAGATCTGCAGACATAAGCACTTAATGAAAGGAAGGGATGAGTGCAGCCTCAAGTCCCTGGTAGCAAAGAGAATTTTCCCTACTCTGGATTTCGGCATCTTCCCCTCTCTGCCCCAACACACAGGGGTATCTTCCCCATCCTTCACAAGCACTCCTTGTGCAGTCCTAACTAAGACATCTGACTGGCACCAATGGGACTTTCCCACCATGCTGAAAGGAAAAGTTCTCTTTGTTCCTGCTCAGAGGCGGATGGACAGGCTGTTTGGACGCCTCTGCTTCTGTTTGATATTTCAGTTTAACACGGCACGGAGGTGGCATCTGTGGGACGGGATCATAGACCCAGACACAGCTTCTTCAGTCATCTGCAAGTGTGTAAAGTGCTGTAAACGCCGCTGGCTACATGAACGGCCACTTTCAATGCTGTGAAGAATTCATTGCCTGTTGCCAAGCCAAAGAACAACAGTTGTCTGAATCCCCCAAAGTAAAATTAATAAGAAATGAATCTCCTTTTAATCCCAAAATCCTTTATTGACATTTTCACATGTATAGACCTGTATTGTGATATGCAGTATGGATATAATGCTGCTGTAAGCTTTGCACTGCTGAGCTAGCTTGCGAGTGTGTTTTATCCCTTTTTTTCTAGACTTTGTTGGTAATGGATCAAGGGGAATAAATCGAGTGTTCCTGTGTAACACTATGTTTGTCTTTTTCTCCTTTCTTTCACAGATTCCCTTTGTATCCCAGAGGAGAGCGGTTTCATTTTGAATATGGTGTCTACTTGCTCAACAAGAACATTGCTCAGGTAATATATAAACACACTTTGCTACCAGTGTTCTAATGGAAACTTTAAGCACTTTAAGCATTGACAAATTTAAGGACCTTTAAATTTTGAGAGAAGATGTATTAATTACATTACTAATTCTTGAGTTCTTGGAACCAATACGTTGCCTGAGGAAGGCGCTGTGGTGGTGAAACAACAGGTAATGGTATAAAATTAATACTATATATTCTAAAGCGCTTCTCCTGCTTCTTGCATTAAGTTGCTGCCTATATTGTTTAGTGTATACAGTAGTACACATGCATTCACTAACCTCTGGAGTCACTTTAAAGGCTGGCAATAATGAAAAGGCTGTCGTATTAATTTAATTTAAAAATAATTAAATAATTTCCTAAAACAGTGGGACACTAGTTTTTAGTTAACATTTTTCAAACATGAATAAAGACTAATTTTCAGCCACAGATTTTGTGCTCTTGGGAGTATTTTTCCAGCAGCAGAACAGTGTGTGTGGGATTGACTCATTGTACTATTACAGTGCTCATCCTAATGAAGGAACTGATGTGTTTTGAGCCATGGTAGCGGCCAATTGTTGTATGGATGTCAGTCCGTCGGTTGATCAACTTTTAGTGGTGCATTGCCATGACATTTTGTACAGACACTCATAGACTCAGAAGCCAGTCTCTTAACACATTCTTTAGGCTTTCATTGCTAAAACTGTGTGGAAACAATTACAGAGTTAAAAAAAACCTGCATTGTATAACCAATCCAAAGTCTTAAGATGACATGTGGAAGTCGTGTGTTTGTAAACACTGGCTTATCATATAACGTGCATTTAGTAATTGAAGATGATCAGGAGATCTCCGATGACTTTAATGATCCCCTGATTTTTCCCTTGTTGCCATACTTTGGTTACGATCAAATACCTGCAACACTAGTGACATTCCCATCAACCTCAGCTGCAATTTGTGTTTAGTGCTAATAAGCAAATGTTAGCATGCTATCACGCTAAACTGAGATGGTACACATATTGAAAATTATACATGCTTAACATGTCTTGGTATTGTCATTGAGAGCATGTTAGCATGCTGACATTAGCATGTAACTGAAAGCACCACTGTGTTTATTACAGCTTCTCAGAGTTGCTAGCATGGCAGTAGACTCTACAGTGCTGTTAATAGTTTTTGGACAACAATAGAGCTCTGTGCCACAGAGGAATGAGATATATCAGACTTCACAGGCAACACTTTAAGGTGCTTTTGAAGGAGCAGAAAGTCACAACATGAAATGTATCTGTGTATGCCGGTGACATTTGGCACACAAGTGGAATTAATGCTCTAAATTGGTTTCTCATTCTCTTCTCCTCCATCTCTTCTAAACACAAACACCTCAGGGGAGGGTTGAACTCTTGACCTGTCCGTGCTTATTAAAGTACACCTAATGTGTTGACCTGGGTTACTCCCTCCATTCATCCCTCAGACATTTAGCACTGACTTTTAACAATTTGCATTCCATTCCCTGTTTTCTTCTTCGTCCAGGCGGGAATGAAGGGCCTCGTCACTGAATAATAGGGGGCAATTAGCACTAGCAGGTGGCTGACTTCAAATCACTGCACTTTGGGAGGTTTTAGTTCTAATATAAGACCACAAGCTGCTAGCCAATATCCAAGTCTGCCATCTTCCCACCACAGTCCAAGAGTAAATAAAATAGGACACATAAAAAGAAGCCAGATACAAAGGTATTTCAGACAGCAAGGGAAAATAAGGGCTGTCTGAATGCACCAATGGGAGCGACAAGGTGGCCTGTTGTGTTTTGAAAAAAGTCTCCCTGGATATAGTGTGTTGTGTCTAAATAATGACGTGTGCATGTAATGAATCCAAAACGGAAGACATTATTGAAGGTTGGGAATATATGGTACATTGTTAGCTCAGTGCACATAGTTAAGTAATGCTAAACTGTAATCTGATACTTATACCATCAAATTAGCTTAGTCAATTTTATTTATATAGCCAGATATCACAAAAGGGGCTTTACAGTCTGTACGGCGCACTGCCTCTATCCTTAGACCCCCAATTCAGTTAAGGAGATTTCCCCCAAAAACCCTTAAATCGGGGAAAACAAATGTGAGAAACCTCAGGAAGAGCAACAGAAGAGGGATCCTTCTCCCAGGACAGAATAGATGCCAGGTGCACAGATTCGATCAACATAGTAAAGTTATAGTATACACAATCAGGATGACAACATTATAGATAGATTGTAAAAATATATGAACATATATCACTGCTTGTCAATATGCACTCTCAAGTCAGAAGTGAAATATTAGCTGGACTGAACTACTGAGGTCGGTATAAATTGATAGATTTTACTGCACTATAATAACTGTCAAAAATGAACACACACACGTTTCTCCTCCTCATCCTCACATATGGACTCAGGCAAGCATTTTCAGCATTGTGACGTTTTTGACTTTTAACAGACACCTTTAAAACCTGGCAAATATTTTGGAGTGAAGCTCCAAGACAAGATTTTACTCCCACAAGATAAACATATTGTACTTTTGCATGACATACTCTTTAGTGTGTGAGGTAGCAGGCAATCTCTAGATTAACATAGCTTGTTAAACCATTGAAAATAGCTTATTGTGATGGTATAATATGTAAGTAAACAATAGGATGTTGTGACTAAACCTAAATATGCACAGCACACTGTGTTTTTTTATACTAGAGAGAGAGAGACAGATTTAAATGTGCATGACACTATATAATCTTTTTCACATGTAGAACATTTGGCGTGCAGTCATCTCAATGGATATCCCTACCTTTCAACTCGCATAACCCCCCCACATAATCCTTTTTATCCAAGTTTCTTAGATTTTCGTGAATCTTAACCATGTGGTGCCATCACATGTAGCACTGCATGATCACTCTTGCCGAAAGTTTAATTAAGCCCCTTTCACACATGGACTGCAACTCTGGATTTATCCAGACATTACCCAGAGGAGCTGTATGTGAGAACAAAAATATCCAAATCAGTTTCACCAGACATTACTGCCAGCTCCCTAGTCCAAAGTCTGTGTGAGCTTAGGTGTGTATTGAAAAGGTCATTGTCTGGAGAATTCACAGCAAGAACGTGTTCGTGTCGTGGATGTTGCACGGTGTGTAGTTGTGTTTATCATTTTCATTTTCATAAAGACTATCTGCCAATCAAAACCAGCCTACACGTCTCATTTTACCTCAAGTTTTAATGTCTTTTTTTGTCATCAGTGATGTGAAAATATCAGATTTCCACACAGGCAGAGAAAGTAAAAGTGTGCGTTATGCTCATAGTTGAGGATTAAAATCCCAGCGCACCACGAAGCATCTTTCTGCAGTCATGCTCCATATATATCGCCCCCTTCCATTACAGTTAGTTTTGTGATTCGTGGTCATTTTGAAACTCTGTTTGTATTGATATCAACACAAAAACAGGTCAGGTTTTTTTGTTTTCTCCTCCTGCTCGTGCGCACTCTAACCAGGCGACACGCCTTGGTATGAACAATCTCCGGTTTGAGGGCAAATTTGGACAATGTCTCAACCAGATTCTCAGGACATTGTTCAGAGGTTATATGTAAAAAAACGGCATTAGACTATTGATACAGATGCAACCGCCTATAATTGCCGGCTGGTCCGTGACAGGTCCTTGTTTATCTGAATGGAATGAACGGATATATCCGTCTGGCAGCCGGCTGTGGGCGGCAGTTCTGAGTGGCTGGTTCTGCTGAAGCTTGAGGAGAAATATTTTTGTATCTCTCTCTGTCTCTATAAATTTGTTGTGTCAAAATGATGCAGTGATGCATTAAAAATGTATTTTGCGGTATTCAAGAGTAGAATATATTCTAAGATTTTTAAGAACTTTAAAATGGCTGAAAAAAAGTGTATATATATATATATGGTACTTCAAAGGAATCTGGCCCATTGCAGTGAAAAATGAGTTCCAGGCAGCAGGACGTTTTCACCTGTGTCCATGAAACCAATGCAGAAAGGTTTTGAAACCAGATGTAAACCATCAGCTGTAACACAGGTGGGCACATGTGAGGAGTGCATGATAACTTTGTAAGAGCAATCTGTGGAATGATGAATTCATAAACGACAGCATACTTCTTTTTTTTAAGGTTATTTTTTTTCCTTTATTAGACAGCGATAGTGAGGAGGCAGACAGGAAATGGGGGAGAGAGGGGTATGACATGCAACAAAGATCGCCAGCAATGGTTGCAACCATGTGGAATGCGCTGTAACGGGCTGAGTAATTCGACTGTGGAGGTGCTCCAACAACATATTTCTTTCTATTATTTGTGAATAATATCTGCGGAGGTTTATGTAGATCTCAGTGACTGAAAGGGTGCACGGCATACTAAATGTAACCCACATACCTAGAAATTTGATCATTGTACCCCGTGAAAGCCTTCCTCGAAGAAAACACTTTTTCTCATTGTCACCAAAGCGTGAAAATGTGCTCCACTTTTAACAGCTCGGTAGAGCATTAGTATTTTTACAGGATAAAATTTCAACTTTCAACATTCAAAGTCCTGTCTAATGCATCCCATGTGTGCCCGACTACGTCCACGTTAAGGATGAGTTATCAGGTTGACTCCAAAACAATATAACATTGCCACATGGGTAGTCCAACTCCATATGAAAGTGATAATAGACCATTGTTTCAAAACTGAAGAAGTGGTAAACATGTCACAGTTGATAAAATAGAACCCACCGCAAACAGAGCTTCCCCATCCCCATTTGGTTGATTTCTGCACACCGTATGAATCTGTGTGCTCCTGTGAATCTGATCGTGACCAAGTTTTGTGAGTTAAGGCTGTGAAAATGCACGAAGCAACAGAAATCTTTTATGCTACGTGTAAATTCTCTTCTTAAATCCAATCAGGATTCATTCTCAGACTTTGTTTCACTCCTGCTCGGCTGTATCTTTCTTGTTAATTTATTGGGGCTTTTATTAGGAAATGGTTGCTTTGCTGACCCTTTCACATTGAGCCT